ATCAATAATTTACTCTGTGACTTTGGGAATTTTTGCTTTTACTGGTCCTTTTTTGGTTTTGTTAGTAGAGGTTTTACTCTTGCCTTTTGCATTTACCTTCTCTTTCTTACGTCCCTTCCGCTTGGGCTTCCATGTGCTGTCACCACTATTTATATTTGATATAATCAAAAGCCTGTCCTCTCCCGCCTGGATGGTGTAATTTGGTTTTATAGTTCGTTTCACAGTTTTTTTTTTTTTCTTTTTGCTTTGGTCATCTGTAAGGGAATCCGCTTTTCTTTTCAAAAGTCTTTTTTCTTTTGCAGGTGCAGTCTGGGATGTCCCAGCTGTGCTGGATTAAGTGGCTGACATGAACACGCAGCGCCAGGTGGAGCCTGGGAAGAAGGAATGGGATGGAGCATTGAATAATTATTTAATTAGGAATATTTGTGTATATACGTGTGTAAAAACAGGAAAAGCAAAAACAAGGAAGAAATTGATTATAAATAAGTAGGTAGGCGATATGCACACAGGATGTAACGTGCCAAAAAACGGAAGAAGAAGAAGAAGAAGAAGAAGTGGCTGACATTTGCAGAGGGAGCCTGGAGTGACCATGGCTCTGTGTTTAAGTTGGATTCCTGCAACATATTAAACTGAAACCACTCTTTTATCTGAAAAGCTATTTTACAAAAATCAGCAAACTGCAACAAAAGTGGGAACAAAACATCTCCAATCACTTGTGAGCAGAATAGGATTGGAGAGATGGAAAAGGAGAAAAACACAAGAGCTTCAAAGGGGAGCTGTAACATAGCCACATATAGCCTACTAAAATACAGGCTATTCGAACCATATTTACTCATAGTAGTAGGCCTATAGGACTACTTGTTTTTTATTACAACCCCTGATGAAAATTAATACATTACAAAAACATTGTAAAAATAAAACAATTTGGCTAAAAGAAAGTCATCCCACTCCTCTACGTATACTTCTATCATCGCTTAGATTGTATAGGATTACAGCATCGCGCGCCTTCTTTTTGAACGTGATTTTCTCCAATGAGGGGTAGGAGGGGTCGGAACATTTGGCAAATTAAGCTGCAGAATTTATATTATTGCACTGGTTGGATATTAACTGCTAGCAGACAGAGTGTCATTCAATGCATTGGAGATTTTTTTAAATAAGACCCAAAAACCACAACCCACGACCCGAGATTTTGTCACACAACTTTCCAAAAAAAGAAGTCCAAAGTAGCATATAATATGCAGACTTGGCAACTCTGGTTAGCGAATGTCGTTATATCCGCTTTCGTGCTCAGCGAAGAGAGACTCAAAATAGCAAAGAAATCAACCAGGGCGAGCGATATTATAAATATTCCCTTTGGTAAAGGAGAAGCTAAGGCAATAATTAAAAAATAAATGATGAAGAAATGGCAGGACAGATGGGACATGGATAATATGATGGTATACAGAAATTGATCAACGCACAGAGTGGGAATGCAGGAATAGAAGGGAGGAGTTAGTTCTAACCAGGCTGAGGTTTGACCACACAGGGTTAAATAAAACATTGTTTTTGTTAGGTAAAAGTAAATCAGATGAATGTATGGAATGTAAAATCACAGAAAATGCAGAACATATATTGTTACATTGTAGGAAGTATAGGGAAGAGAGGATTAGATTAAACCAAAAGATAAGTCAGACAGGAAGAAAATGGAACCTTGAGGGTGTTTTGGGAACAACAGGAGAAGGGGTTAAAAATGCACAGGATGCTGTTGTGGAATAACTGAAGGATACAGGGGTATATTATAGTATTTGGATAGTAGTGCGATAATAATAATATATATATATTTGTATTATTATTATTATTTTTATTATTATTATTATTATTATTTTGATAATGTAAAGTGCATTCATTGAGATATAATCCATGCTGCATACTCTGATACAGTAGGTGGAGGTATGCACCTGATAAGTCATGGTTGCAATCCACCAGGTCAAGTCAAGTCAAGTCTGCTTTATTGTCAATTCTTCCACATGTACAGCACATACTCACAGAGAATTGAAATTGCGTTACTCTCAGACCCTTGGTGCATACAGATAACACTACAGTAGAACATAAATACAGATAGATACAGATTAAATACAAAATACAACTATACAAATATACAAATAAGGTCAAATGTAAAAAAATATATAAAGCACAAGGCATATGGCAGATAGAGTGCAAACCAGTAAAGTAAACAACAGTGCAGATATAATGATTGTAGTGCAAAAAAATGATTTGTAGTGCAAAAGAGCTTATTCAGACTGATTAAAGTGACAGTGTGTGTGTATATTTGGGAGGGGGGAGTGGGAGAGTCCGTCAGAGGGTCAGAGTTCAGTGGTGCGTGGGGCAAAAGAGGGGAGGGGGGGCATGGTCGGGAGGGAGTTCTGCTTCCTGACAGCCTGATGGATGAAGCTGTCCTTCAGTCTGCTGGTCCTAGCCTGGAGACTCCGCAGTCTCCTCCCTGATGGCAGCAGACTGAAGAAGCTGTGTGGCGGGTGGGTGGGATCACCTGCAATGCAGAGGG